AAAAAAAAAAAAAAAAAAAAAAAAAAGTAGGTTTATTCCCTCTTTCGTTTGAGTATGTCTGCTGTCATCTTAGTCAGAATCTGGTTGTGGAGCTTCACCCATTACACATATGTAATCTAATTTGGGGTAGATAAAAACAGGCAGGCTGGAAAGGAAAATTTTATTTATTTCTGTGGGGCATTCCAGAGGACAGGGAATCAGGAAGGTCTTTCCCCTTGATCTCCTGATTTCTCTCTGCTCCGTCTCTTCTCGCCATGCTCCTGCAGGGCCCATGGGCCAGATGCAATGATCCTTGTGGACGGGCAGCCACGCCAGGCCAAGGGTGAGCTGGGGCTCTCCCAAATGCTCCACATCGCCAGTCAGATCGCCTCGGGCATGGTGTACCTGGCCTCCCAGCACTTTGTGCACCGAGACCTGGCCACCAGGAACTGCCTGGTTGGAGCAAATCTGCTAGTGAAGATCGGGGACTTCGGCATGTCCAGAGATGTCTACAGCACGGATTATTACAGGGTAAGGTGACTTTCCCGGCTGCAGGACTCAGCCACAGAGCTAGCGCCTTGCTTACATGTCTTTTTCATTGTCCATTAACCCTGTCACTCTGGCACACAAATATTCACTCCCGTGCCCAGACATGCACCCAACAGTTATCTTTTGGCTTCTCTTGCATCTTGACATACCTGTTCCTTATTTTTCTCAATTGCCCGCTTCTCCTTCCTTCTTGGACATGTAACTGAACTGTAATCTGTACATTGCAAAGACATATGCATTGTGTTCTTATGTGCATCGATACTCATTCTTCATGTAAACATACTCATACATGTATATGTATGTGCCCAAACACACACACAGACATGCCCAACTTGGTACTATGTTTAATATCTCCCTACTCAGTCCCAGATCTAGCCTCACCCATGACACATTTTATTCTCTGAAATTATCTTGTGATGATGGAAGAATTACGTTGTTTCCAATAGGTAGATCTTGGTGGGGAGGGGAAACCTAAATAAAGTAACAAAAATACGTAATATATTGTTGAGTATTATCCAAACGGGTTAGAACAGAGGACGAAAGGAAGCATGTTGTCTGTTGCCAACTTCGGAGAGAGGACAGGTTAAATCTTAGAAAAGCTTCTTGATGGTGAGAAGAGGCATCCTGCTCAGTTCTACCCTCATGCAGCCACCTGCTTTACATGAACAAGAGTCTTATTTTGCACCCCAAATCATTTTTTCACCTAAGTCTTTGGGAGTATTTTTGCCGTGGATCATTGACTGGTTCTGATAGTGTTTTATTTCCAGGTAAGGGATGGATGGCCATGAGTGTCACTTACCTCAGAAAGGGAAAATGTGAGTGCAGCCTGAGACACAGATAGCTTCTGCAAACTGATTGAGGGTGGATTCCTAAAAAATATGCAAGATCCAAGACTAGTCATGGTGGCTCACGCCTATAATCCCAGCACTTTGGGAGGCTGAGGTGGATGGATCATGAGGTCAGGAGATTGAGACCAGCCTGGCCAACATGGTGAAACCCTATCTCTACTGAAAAATACAAAAATTAGCTGGGCATGGTGGCATGTGCCTGTAGTCCCAGCTACTCGGGAGGCTGAGGCAGAAGAATTGCTTGAACCTGGGAGGCAGAGATGGCAGTGAGCCGAGATCACAACACTGCACTCCATTCTGGACGACAGAGCGAGACTCTGTCTCAAAAAAAAAAAAAAAAAATTACAGAAGATCTATTTCTGGGACATCAAAGGGAAGAGGAGTTTGGATAGGTGGTACAAGGAGAGTGTGGGACAATGTTTTGGAGGTCAAGGGATGTCTTATTCCTTTTCGGCTGTTGTAACAAATGCCACAAACAGGACAGGCTACAAAAAAACAGAAGTTTATTTCTCATGATTCTGGAGGGTGGGAATTTCAAGATCAAGGTGCCCACAAATTCATTGTCTGGTAAAGATCTGCTTTCTCATTCAGAGATGGCCGTCTTCTTGCTGTGTCTTCACTTGGCAGAAGGGTTAAGGGATCTCTCTGGCATCTCTTCTGTAAAAATACGTTATCCTCATGACCTAATAATTTCCCAAAGGCCTCACCTCCTAACACCATTACCTTGAGGCTTAGGTTCCAACATATGAATTTGGGGGGTACACATTCAGTCTACAGCCAGGATCATGGCAGCCATTCGTCTCCTTTTCTTTGGAGAAATGCGGGACCATACTGTGAGTCAAATAGGATTGTCGTGTTGGCCTAGGCATGGTGGACCAGAGCCTGGGAATTTGAGGTGTGTGCAGATCAGTTCTATCTGGATGTTCCTTATGGCTTTGCCTAAATGAGATCACTCAGACATTAAGACAGATTACGCAATACACTTTATTTTAGCAATAGTTGAGAGAAAAATTGAATGTTTGAGAAACGATCTTTGTGGTTAGAAAATGACTTGTTTGTGGTACAACCAAAGAATGGCAGATGATGTACCCTCATGAGAGAATGTGAGACAAAGCGTAGTGTGTCCGCAGCAAGCTGGGCAGCTTCTCTAGCTACCTATTCTGTCCAGCATCCCCAGGGATGGAAAAGGGGACATGATGTGTCCGTAGTTACAGACTGATGGCCAGGGCACACCTGCCGGGAACTCTCAAAAAGGAGTCTTTCTTTAGTGTTTAGACCATATTTTTTGTTCTTTTCCAAGAGAGGCATTGGTGTGGTTACCAACGAGGGGCCATGGGTCATAGATTTCCTAGAGTCTGGCTGGAGCTGGCGCTGTTTAATTGCCTTTCCACTTTGTTTAATGGGTTTGCTGGTCTGTCTGTCTGTGCTTAGATCTGTGTTGGTGTTGATGAAAACAAGGGATGGCTCATTGTTGTTCCTTGTGAAAGGCAGATGTTTGATTATGCCAAGCTGATAACTACCGACCTCACTAGAGTCTTAGGAAACCACTTCTGACCGGAATGTGCTAACTGACCCTTCAAATTTGCTTCCAGATGTGTACTTAATATTCCCTGAATCTGGTTTAAAAGAGGAAAAACAAAAAAAAATAAAAAGATCACATTCCCGATGGATATTTCTTTGCCCTTGCTTTAACAACTGTGAACTGTTGCTTTTTATGCCTGAAAAAGCTACAAGAAATACTCTGTCTAATTCTGTGGGTACCAGGGCAGATTAGAATTTAAGAAAGGGAGAATGAGGTGGGAAAATGTACACAGTACACGTAACCTCAATTCCTTCTTCACGAGTTCTAAGGGAGATGTTAGCCAAGGCCAGCTAGCTTGAAATGTGTATTTTTGGTCCCAAGGAAGTTTGAACAAAAAAGGATTACTCTTACAGTAAAAATACTGCACATCATTGGAAAGTTGTATATTCCACTGATGAGATGTTTAAAGACCAGCTCGTAGCATATCTTCTTGTTCGCTTACTCACAGTGTCCTAATGTATACACCACTCCTCCTTCCCTACTTTTCTGCAAAATAAAAAACAGGAGTAGATTTGCCTGAAGTCACGTTAAAATGAACCCCAAAGTCCTATTGTCCATATTGGAAGACATGGGAATGACAAGGGAACTCTTGGATTTAGGGCTAATCTTACCTATGTTCCCATGCTAATGCACAACCACCATTAGCGACCACACAACCTGGATGCATTTCCCCTAACCTCTGTTCAATGTTTCTGTTGTTAAAGTCAGAACAAAAACACTCACTCGACAGAGTTGTATTGATCTTAAGAAAGTTAATTTGTACAAAGAGCCTGTAATACAACACTTACTGGATTAGCCCTTATTTATTTTTATCTTATGAGTCCCCTCACATCCAAGCCAAGACAGCTCTATGGATAATTTTATTTCTCTGTGCAATTCTTGGGACAAAGAGAGGGACTCCCTGACCACTGGAAGATAAACTGGATCATGCAGCGGCTCCAAAGGAGTAAGATCTTTGTATTGACCACCTCAGGAAAATGTCTTTCTGAAGGTTTCAACATGTATGGAAATACTGGGTCATCAATACTTGCCTCTTCATCTCATAAGTGTTTATAGGGTCATGAATCCTAGAGCTAAGTCCACATTCGGGTGATTTATGTAAGACGTTTTGTTCAGTATACATCTGCTGAGGCCTTCAGGGAATGCTCTGATTTGTCAGATAGTGAGAATACTGTGAAGGATTCTCTCTGAGAGCTCATACCCCTGGACAGGTTTGTACCTCTCTGCTATCAGTGATTACTGAAATCAGTTGGGCCTAAGAGTTTTTCAGCTTCTTATGCCCAGTATCACTAAGTGCAGATAATCCAGGCATGTGTGTGTGTGTGTGTGTGTGTGTACATGTGCTTGCCTGCCCAGGGCAGATTCCAGAATGTGCATATGAGGGCAGGGGGAGAGATGGAGATAAACTCCTCCTCATAGTCTTTCTTTTCCATTTTTAATTTATTAAAATGAAGAGGCACCATCTGGCTCATTCATAGGTGGTGTGCAAACGATTTACAAAGGTGAACTGCCTAATTTCCTGTTACACATTCAGAGAGAGAAAACAAACATCTCCACACCAGAGCACCAGAGTGATGTGTTCTCTCTTCTTAAGACCTTCACAATGACAAACACCTTTTCCTTCTATCACTCAATGCTTCCAAGGTTACCTTTACACTGGCTTTGACAAGGGTGGGCTTTGGGTACCATTATACCTTTCTAAGAATGTCAGAGAACACTTAAAGATTGATAGTCAAATCTAGAATTAAAGTTTTGAGTGTCCTGAAGGGGAGAAGATTGGGTTCTCAGAATACTGATGTTTTCAGATTTGATTTGGGGAGAGGAGTCAATACAGTGAGATCAGGGAGGAATGAAATTAGAGGGGATGGGATCCTACTAATCTAGAAGTCCAGGAGTGTTCCTTTCTGTTCGCCCTGTGTCCTGTGTGCCTGTGTGCTGTCCTGTGTGACAGTACCTGGCACTTGTTGGACACCTAATAAAAGGATGAATGAAGTCAGAAAGGGAATTTAGAGTTAGGAAGTGGGTCATTCCAGACCAAGAGAAACTTAGATAGCCAGATGCTGGCCTTTGGAGATGACGTGGAATGCAGCAGCAGGCGGTCGGACAAGTATTGTCTAATCAAGCAGTGCATTATCCTGGGAGAACGTTCAGAGGAGGCAGATGAGTGATGGTCTGAGTTAGGGATGGTCGACTTTGGATTCTGGTAGAAGATGGAACTGAGTGTCTAGAACATGATGGCGGAAGTATGCCGAAATCCAGGTGGACACATAGGTGCGGGCCATAAGGCAGTAAGGCGCTGGATTCTAAGCTGGAGATTCTGGGTCAGGGTTCCCAGAAACTCCTAGAAAGATAGTAACAGTAATCCTTAGGAAGTAGAAATCATTTAGAACAAGCCAATCTTGCTGGAAAGATGTTTGATTTGAATGTTTGGTGTCCCTATAGAAGATGAAAAGCTGTGAGCTCTTGGACCCACACTGCCTAGGTTTGAATCTCTGCCCCTGTCTTTCCTGACTATATGACCTTTGTCAAATTACTTGCCCTTTCGGTGCCTT